ATAACTTTCTTGTCATTACGTCGCCTGTATATAGGATATCCAACATCATCTATTTTAGTGATCGGACTGTAAGGTTTTGGAAAATACTTTGTACATTTTCCTTCAGCCATGCAAACACTATCCTTATTCAAAGCACCACATGGTCCATGCATCATGACATCTCCTACTATCTCATACAGCGCTGGATCAATATCCTTGTCAGGAATCTCAGCACATATTATCTTATCAATGTCATCACCAGTTGGTAGCTTGTGACCAGCCTCTAAAAAAAGAACGATGTGTGCATGAGGTAGTCCCCGTTTTTGAAACTCAATCGTGTAGATCGCTGCAACGAATAAATTGTAGTTTTTAAAAGATTAGTTAGCATGATCATCTAGCAATGTTATGAACATTATCTTGCTAAACGAAATAAGATACTTAGTTTAATAAAACATACCGGCTTTTACGACACCTAACACATTTTCTTTGGTGAGTCTGTGCATGAGATCATCTAGTTTCATCTTGAACACTCGCGTACATATATCTGGCCTATCCTCTTGCTTCAAGTTATGTCTTTTTAGGTGCCTGGTAATCTCAGGCCATTTGGGATTACACGTAAAGGTTATGAAAAGATCCGGAAAACCAAAATGCTGGCAAGTAGTCATCGCATCTAGATAATGTTGCACCATATACCTTGTACCACCAGTATAAGAAGAAGGTATAATAATACGTTTACCCTTGTCAGAAAGATCAGTATCACCTTCATCAACAGTTTTCTTTATCTTGTCATAATTTTCGCAACGAAGTTTAGACTGATTCATTGATATGAAACATAGTCTATTAGTCTCAATCATCGTGTACGCATCCACTAAGAACTGCTGGAACAATCTTCCAGATAAAGGGATGATTGGTGACTCGCCAACCCTCTCTTGTATGCGGTAAGCAAAAAACTCTCTCATAGTAATATGCAACCTTTTCCTCCCTTGGGTATCTACAAAACCAATATCGATACCAAGTCTGAACCCGTCCTCGCCATAGGGAAACAATAATGGATAATGCAAAGGCAGATACGCAGGATGTAGTTCACTGATCCTTTTGAGATTCCCAGTCTTTTTACACTCGATGATGATATCACGTGCATCTACCTGACCATCGAAATCATTAGGTATCAATGCAGCAACTTCATTATTAGCTGGTAGATTCTCAGTCCTTCCATCACTTTTCCTGTCACACTTTAAAATTATCCTTAACCGGCTTGTATCATCGTTAGGATCAAACCTTTCTCGAACGTTTGTAATGCATCCACATGTTTGTTATGTTTATCTAGCATATTTTTTTATTTTCTCAACAACCTTCTCTCGCAATTTATCAGCCGGTCCCATTTTCCTATAAAATTTTTAAAATAAATTCTTATAACAGTTAAAACCACATAACATTTAATAACAATACATATATTTTTTAAATTGATCTCAATGATTAAATTAAATATAAACCAAAAGAATAATAATCATACCCATAAGCAGCTATTCGGTTAGTTGTTTCATTTGCGGTATCATATATATATAGCTGTAAAAAGGATGGTTTTTTTCCAGGAGGTGGTAGCAAATCCCCTATAGAATGTTAGTTCTCCCCGTTCATCTGGAAAATGTAAGGACCTTTCTCGTCGTTGATTTCTTTATTTATTTTTCCTCCAAGAGAAGTAAAAGAAAACATCATATTATACGCCCAAATAAACTCACGAAAGTGATCACGCAAATCACCATCATTATACAACAATGCTAATAAAGAATTCGGAGGGGTTTTAAGAAGTGGAAGAACGACTTTACTCTGACCACAACACATGGAGAATATAAGCTTCCCACGACGATATCGTTTACCCAACCTCTCTCCTTACCACATATAAGCCTTACAATTACCACATATATATATATATATATATATATATATATAGGATCACCATCGTCGTAATAACCTGATTAGAATAATATTCATTGCTTAGTATTAATTACACAGTAGTTATATATTATGTATTAAATGAAATATATTAGTCCAATGAAAACCATAACCTCCATCTTTCAGACCAGGACTAACTGATTCCAATAAATCTGTTCTAGTAACAACGGTCTCGGTTGCATCCTCATCACAAAAATCAGAGGATTTAGCACATTTTTTGGGTCTTCCTTTCTTTTTATTACCAGGCCTCGGTTTTTCCACATCCTCACTTTTCGACATAGAATCTTCATCATTATCCCTATCGGACTCAGAATCAGTAGCAATAAAGCAAGCAAACTCTTCGGTGTTGATAGAAGTAGCCAAAAGCTCTGTTTGTTTTTTAACGGAAAAAATAATAAGTGTAAATCAGGCATATAATTATTAATCTACGTTGTAATTACGAAAAAAGAAGATCAAACCAATAGCTTCTTCTCTTTTTCTCCTCTCACGCATGATATGCATTCTTCTCTGCTGGGCATTACGAATTCCCTGGGGTGTTAGATCAGGAACTTCATTGATATTGTAACGAAACAAACCTCCAAGTTGGTCAATATCGGTTACACTGGTAGGAGCATATCGTGCGTTCTAGCATTACCACCTACAAATTCCAGTTAATAGTAAGCAAATTTATATCACGTGAATGATTTAAAAATGTAATTTACTTAAAATAACACCTTTATTTGGAGCAATCGACGAAGATGAATCTTTTTTCTGAGGACGCCCAAGTTTACGTTTCATTTTTTCTGGTGAATAGCACGAACAAAAAAAATTTGTGATCTAAATACACAGTCATTAACAAACTATATATATATAATATTATATTGCGCGATAATGCAAAATATATATTTTAGCTTCTCATAATAAAATAAGATTTTGGTAATAAAAAGAATTTCAAAATAGAAAACCTCACGATAATGTTAACATTACTTATTCTTCGCGATAATATGCCTATCTTCTCTAATGCACCATAATACTCCAATATCGAAAATTTACATTTTCGTGATAATGTTAAAATACTATTGAAATACTTCTACAATACAATAACGTGGATCTATAAATAATTATTTATTATTCCAAATATGCAGAGTTAATCCTAAAAATATACCTCTACATTACAACAAATATATTATCCTAATGTTTTTACGAAAACCGAAAAGACTATCGTTATATTTCTTAGAAATTGAATATTCTCCCAAAAATATGGTTATTTAACATATCATCCCAATAAATTATATCACATATTTTGTTTTCGTGGACAATTATACTACAATTCGTTACGCAGGCGTTTTGGGGATAACTATGAACATCGAAATCCATACATGAAAATAATAATTAAAAAATCTTATTTTCATACACTGCGTCAAAAGTCAAATTTTATTCAAATCACATACGATGTTTAACACAAACCACAAAACCTAAAAATAAAAATTGATATAAAATAATTCCAAAAACATTAGCACGGAACTCGTAACATCAGGGTCTAACGACTGGATATCAACTCTCGAAACTGATAGACCTCGAAGCATGTCGAATTTAGAATAACTTGTGTGCAATCATACGACGTAGTTGCCAAGAAACACCCTGTATTATCGAACAAACGAAAATCAAATCATATTTATCGCATATACTTTACAACCATCTCATATCAAAAAAAAAAAAATACATCGTCGAGCAATTATCTTTGCAAAACGAATGATGCAAATAATGACATCTTTTTTACATCCACCCAACTCACGAAGAAAAGTTTCAGCATAATCACCTTTCAAAAAACATGATAAACGTCGGTTCCTAAAGTTTCCCATCAAACAAATATCAGTCTGAGTTAAACTTAAAAATTCGTTTTTTAAATTCTATTAACATAAAATAGATTACCTTTCGTTTTCGAGATCGAATCTTATTATAGACTGTTTAGAGTATCCTAAGGATCCAATTCTATCGTGAGAGTTTCCAACGTTGACAACCTTACCGATTAAATCTGTTTTTTTTTAAAATGAATATCAAATAATCAATATAGTAATTGCATGACAAATCGGTAATGAAAAATATACAGAATACTCACCCACACAGTAGTTAAAATCAATAGTCCCATTCATAATATCTTCGAAAACAACGAATGAAAAATAACCATTGATATCTAAAGTATAAGAGCTTGCACATGTTGTATCACTGGTAAGTTGGATCATATAAGGATGTGTACTTGGCTTAAATTCACCAGTAAGAGGCAATAGATTAAAATTTATTAGAAGAACTCAATCTCTCTTGTTACATATCCTCGAATACTTATCATAAAATTCAATCGGTGCAGTTACATAAATCTTCTGTCCCCGAGAAGTATGGAATCAAACATTCAGACATTTATCATTACAAAAACTAAAATATAATCATGAAATTGATGTGTTATACCTTCCAATCCCCCATTATAAAGTCTAACGTGCGGTCACATTCAGGAAATCTTTTAAATTTACGTACGACTTTCAACTTAGTCTTCCATATATGCTTGGTAGGATCAAGTTCGGAAATTCCAAACAGATTTTGCTCATATTTTTTATATACGGCGGCGATAGATAGTAAATAAGCCATTTAGGTTAAACGCAAACCCAGAGCCTCAAAACAATTACAACGATTACATCCAAAGGTAACTTAAATAAACATAGCAGAGACAATATTTAAACCAAACTTTTGTTTCTTATTTATAAAATTTAAAATAAAAAGGATACATCGAATATTTTACATTTTTGAGACCTTAATGCTTATTTTATATTTTTAGGATAACATACGACTTTGATAGAAAATTTATCATGATCACAGGGATACCCTTTCCGATTTGTATTAGGGATCTATTATAATATATTATTATAATTATAACAATTTTCCAATTTGTATTAGGAATATATCGGAGGTGAGCCATTTGCATCGTTATATATAAATACGATGTATTAGCATTACCGAGTTATATATGACGATTACTTTTTAGGTTTTATAGGCACTACATCATGTCGATCGCTGCTTGTCTTTTAGCAATGAAAAACATGACTTACACCAATGTCTCCGATATAACTCCATCAAATCAACTACGCCGTATTCGAGTGAAAATACTGCGTATTTTCGAGCACATCGGTGAACCTGATAACACTTTAGATTTGGTGTTGGCTGATAAAAAGGTATTCCGGTGACTCTATATTTTCCGTGCATATCACTTCTCTGATATACATATTTTTGTTTTTATAGGGTGATAAAATACATGGATCAATATCAAAAGGGTTTATAGACAGTTTTACATCAGAAGTGAAGCAAGGAGATTCAATTATTCTGTACCGTTTTGGTGTAGTCCCTGTCATCAGAGACTTGAGGCCGACGTTGCACAATTATAAAATAATATGGAATTCTCAAAATTATTTTTCAAAGATCCCTTTCTATGATAACAACAACTACCTAAGTATTGTTGAATTTGGTAACATACACAACAATCTTCGAGACCCATTGTTTTTCGTTGGTATGACTTTACATAAATTAATAAATAATAACAAAAAATATATGCTTTTTTATATCTATAAATTCTCAATGACTAACTAATCTTTTTATTAGGTATAATTGGACACGTCGCAGTGATTGGAACATTTAGTCACAAATCCTCCAAGAGCCAAAGAAAGTGGGGTAATGTTTACGTGGAGCTCCGTAACGAATCGTAAGTTTTTAAAATATGTTTCTCAATTGCAATCACTGTAATTATTAATTTTTACTACATTATATGATTATTATATGCCCAATAGAAATGCTAGATTGTAAGTGTTATTACGGAACGACTATGCACTGGACCTGATGATTGCTTTATCACGGAAAGAATACAAAATTAACATTGCAGTTATACGTTTCGTGCAACTGTTCAAATTTGCATATGGTTGGGCAGCGATAACTGCATATGATTGTACCGAAATTTTATTAAACCCTAACCTACCCGAAGTCGAGAAAATGCAGACCACAATCACAGAATCAGACGATGGTGTTATATTAAGTTTTTGAATAGTTTTTTTTCGTATGTTTGGTTTTCTTTTTTATTTATGTTTTCATCATTTGACTCAATAAACGATGGTACTATATCAAAACTCTTCTCATATTATTCTTTTCGTATACCTTACTTTCTTAAATTTCTAAAATATATGTTTATTATATATATACATATTTATTTTCCTAGTAAAATATTATAAAAGTTTTAAATCAACAACGGTATCAATAGACTATGAACACAATTTTGCATTGAAAACAAAAAGTGACACTCTTTGTAAATCAAAAACAATATGCTAAAATGAGATGTTTTGCGAAACAAGTGAAGTTTATAGATATTGAATAATTTATTTATTACAATAAAAATAAAAAATAGCTATGTTGTTCAAGTACACAACCTATAAAAAACGAAATAAAAATTTAATATCTCCTACGGATACTGATCTTCATATCCATCATCCAAATGGGTAAAATCAACTGAAGTTTCAAGCCTGGAACAATATGACAATATTATAAAATCATAATATAGATGTCAATAGAATACATATACAGGATATAACATCAAAGATGGAATTTACATACCTCATCTTTGCTATTGCCACTTCTGGAGTAGGAGGATCTTCGAGAATATCAGATATGAATCTTTCCGATTCAACTATCCACTCATCTAATTACATATACATATTCAGTATGCATGTGGAAACAATAAATTTGTTAAACTTCTGATTAATTGCCATATTGAATAGATATTAATAGTTAATATTTACGTACCTCTCCACTATTGAAAGAGAAAAATCGCAATACAATAATATGCCTTGAAGACCTATCACGATTCGTCCAAAGTTCTTCAAATTTTATTGCCAAGTTATCCCAAGCAATACATTTCAAGAAATTTCCACTGTATATATTTACACCAACATAGAAGATAATTAACATATTTTAATATATAAAAAAACCCAAGTCTGACACCAGATATTCTGAGGATAAGTTGTATTACCCGAGATCTTCGAGTACAAAACGAATAAGTGGACGTTCTGTGGGTGTATCCGATGTATCGGACATATGAACTCCTCTTTGAAGTTTCTGAACTAAAGTGACAATCCCGAGAATATCAACTGCAAAATTAAACAACTAAGTTAGAAAAAAATTCATTTCTCAGTTAATGAGATAATCCAAGATAATAACATGCATATAAGAAACTTACCAAGATATCGGTCTGTTTGAATCGACGCAAGCAAAATATCTATGAATGGACAGAAAGAGTATATTTATCTGGAAGACTTCGGATCAGTTTTCTCAGTGATTGTATCCTCGTTGATACGTATATGACAGTTGTTTGATGATATACTTGGATGTGGTAATCTTTCGGTAACTGCAAAATTACCAAGAAAATACCACTCTCCTTCGAGCAATACATACTCGAATTTGTCAAGTATTTCAAATGGCATGGTACACAGGATGCGATTGTCCTACACAGTTTTAGTAAAAAGTAATCAATAAACGATTACATTCCCAAAACATGACAGGGATAATCTTTTAAAATCTTATAAACTTACAAATTCATCAGGCGAAAACTAACATC